TTTGGGACCTCATGGTACAGGGTGGCCGCTCTGCCCCGTCTTTTTAAAAGAGGTAGACTAGCCCGCCCGCACGACCTCTCCAGTCCCCTCTCACCTCCCCTCTCCGTCTGCAAGCGGGCTAGTCTACCTTTTCAAAATGACGGGGCAGAGCGGCCACCCTGTATTATTATGGGCACGACTCACGACAGGGTAGGCAGGTCGCCTTCTATCTAGAACCAAAGCACTGCTGGGCTATTTAGTGCTGATACTGTACAGGCGTGGTCTTTATGTCATGAAAAAAAAAAGATAAATAAGCTATGAGTGAACCTGTCCGTAGTGGAGAGAAGCGTCTTCCTGAAACACGCGTTTACACTTGCATGATTTATTCGAAGAAATCATTATTTTTGTCAAGCATAAGGGGAAGAATGCGGGTGGGCGCAGGGCGCGGACAGCCGTCTCTTCGCTGCCATGATTAAATTCCTCTACTAGTTAAGGAACTCTCTTCCGGCGAAAAGAGGAACATGACACCGAAGACGAACCGGGGCGAACTTTCCCGCTCCATCCCTAGCTTAGTTAGACTCTACCACAATACCCAGCAAAACTCCCTCTCTGTAGAGGTGGTATAAACCACCGGTCAACATTTTATACAACTAGGCTGCCTTCACATTGACAATAAGAATCAAGAGGTGGGGTGGTTTGAGTGGGCTGAAAAGGGATCTGCTCGTCCGTAATACGGACTCCGTATCGGTGCAAATCCATCTAGTAGTGGTAGGGCACCACGTATGATCCCTTTACGCGTGTTTTATCACATGGAAGGAAGGCTGCTTTTGTTCTGTCCTCGTCCTTCTTCCGGGGACGGAGGGAGATAGATAGATCAGGCAAGAGGGCAACTGTCTCTAAAGCGTTATGGCATGGCTCTCAGCCCTCTGTGGTGCCGCGCACATTGTAGAAAAGGATCTTGTTCTGCAACAACTTTTTCAAGTAATTATCTCATTCCTGTTCTGAACAGAATTTTTGTTTGGAGCTTAATGCCGTTGTCCTGATGATGTTCTAGTTTGTTATAAATTTGAGCCTCAACAACAGCCAAGATAGCAACCGTTACTACTCCAGGTATCTCTCTTTAGAGGCTTTTTAATTTTAGTGCTTTGTTCGGACAAACAGTTAAATAATGTTCGTTATGAAAGCAGGCACATTTTTGCAGTGTGCTGCCGAGCCAAGTGAGTCATCACGTTGTGGTGCTTGCACCCGGCGTGTGCGTCTGTCTCTCTCTCTCTCTCTCTCTCTCTCTCTCTCTCTCCCCCTCTCTCTATATATGT